GATTTATCTTTTGGAAGTAATTAAAAGAGGTAGGAAAAAATAAAATCAGCTTGTAAAATAACAGAGTGATCTTTTCATGCAATTATGACACACTTGGGATTGAGGCATAGTTCCCATAGTGTGAACCTGTGAGAGCAGACAAGTGACGAACTTCTATTCAGTGGTTGACAAGCACAGGACAGACATTCCCATTACAAAGGGGAGAGATCAGGAAAGAAAGGGGTGCCAGAAAAGGCCAAAACCTGGTGAGCAAACCCCAGGAACCCTGAGGCTTGAGAGTAACCCATGTGGGTTTTGAAGCTCTGCCCTCAGATGGTCTGGGTGGGCATCCTTTGCCCTCAGCTCCCTGTGCCTGTCCCCTTCTGAGACCAAGGGGAGCAATGGTGGGAGGCTGCCCCCCCCCATGGTTTCTGTCCCTTTACTGAAGGCTAAAGTACCTCAGAGCTGAATAGCTCTGTTGTCCCATCCTGTCCTCTGCAGTTCAAGGTGGCAGTGTCCACTGCAATATCCTCAGCTCTTGCCTGCCTTGCTGAGGTGACTGGTTAAATTCATGGCTCATACCACAATCTCTTCAGCTGAGACCTCTCTTATGTTTTTGCACTGTGGATAGGCTGAGGATTTTCCTCAAGTTCCTTTTCTTTCAGTCCCCTCAATTTCCCTCTCTCCTCTCGCATTTTATTATAAGCAGCAAGGAGGAGCAGCATGGGGTACCTTCAACACTTGCTGAGGAACCCCTGCAGCTTCTGCTCTTCAGAAGATGTCAGGGCATAGTCAAGCCACATGCTTGGCTGCCTACACAAGGGGTCCACTTTCTCCTGCTTCCCAATAGCATGCCCCTCACTCCAATTCCTTGCCAGAATCAGCTTAATGTGCACATTTCTACCAAGAGAATGCTCGAGGTGATATGTGTTCTCAAGATGGCAGAGCACTCCTTACCAGAGTTACCTTTAATGATCACATTCCCACCACAGACCTCACAGCAGACTCCTCAGTACTCCTGCAGCCTCTGCCATCTGGTCCCAAAGCCTTGTCCACATGTCTAGGTGTCTGTCACAGAAGCATCCCACTTCTCAGTACCAAACCTCCATCTGCTCCAGTGTTACAGTCAAATATTCATTCCACAATGCAGATCATCAAGAGAAGGATAATTGTTCATTGAAAGCAGAAAATTGGTACATTTAGCTTAATAATTGTATACTTCAGTCATTACGGTCTCAAGGAGACTTGATTTTTTAAGTGATAAGAGGTATTCCCTAATTGTAGATTCCAGGACCCACCTTCATGATGTCATGGAGCTTCTGTGTTGGCTCCAGCTGGTTGTGGTGAAGCAATGTGCCCTGCTCAGTCCAGGTGAGGGTGGGAGTCAGGACAGACCTTGGGCAAGGGCTCCTGAATGGCAGGTGTGCATGGACAGGTACACAGAGCAAAGGAAAAAGGACCAGATACACCTGGGTGAGTGAGGGACCAAGGGAGGAGGCAACAGTAACTTCCCCTTAAAACCTCCAGGTTTCCTAGAAAATTGAAGCTGAGCCTTTTCTTCTTGCCTTATTTGTTGTGTTTTGGGGACTGTTCTCTCTCTCTGGCTTGTCACTCCCCAAGAACGCACATCTGCTTGCGCAGTTGACGCTTCTATCCCAATGAGTCACTGGGTGGGCACAGTCCACATGACAGGCCTGGGTGGACCTTGATCCCTTCGGCATCAATACCCTCAGGCTCTCCACTCCCAGGCAGTCATTCTGGATCTTGTTCTGATGACAGCAGGGCCTCCCAACAAGTCTACTTACAGTGTTCCTGCTCACAGGGTGACTGGCCAACTGCTGGTTCACTGAGAGGGATGGGGCTTCTCAGACCCTCCTTGTCAGTGCTCAGGGCCACACATCCAACCCAAAGGTTGGCCCAGGCTGATCCCTGTTCTGTAACAGGGTCTGACAGTCTCCTCTAACCACTCCCCTACTTTTTTCTTCACCCCGAATTTCCTCTTTGGTAAATGGAATAGATGGTACCAAGAGAAGATGGGAGAAGTTGAGGGTGTGTAAATGAAAAGCACCAGCCCCTGCTCTACACAGAAACCAGATAAAAACAAAGTAACCCCACTGCCTTCTAACAACCCATGAAAGTCACACTAAACACGACAAGGAGATTTTCAGGCCACTTTCACCCTCTGAGGTTGAAATTCCCAGCTTTTGTCTTTCCCAGATGTGACTTCTTATGGAAGTTCTAATGAAATTGGTTCATCCATTTCTGAGTCAGAAAGCATAGACTAGAATCCACTTTTTGTAACTTCACTTGTTTTAACCACACAGTGGAAATGAGTTCAGGAAAGCGTTTGGAATTTCCTTTCCAATGTGCAGCTCAGAGGGAATCACGAAGTTCAAACCCTTGGTAGAAAACATGCAATAGAGGAATCAAGAAGGTATTATTTTGCTGAACTGTGAAAGCTGAAGTATTCTCATGAAGTCCAACACACATGGGGGCCTCAGTGCACACAATGGTGCAGGCAGACAGCCATGGTGTCAGCCAGCATCAGCTGGTGGTCAGCTGTTCAAGTCACTAAGCTTTGGAGTGGGTGGGAAAACCATTCTGCCTATAAGTTAACACCTGGTGGACACTTGGGCAGCCATGAGAACTGGCCAGAAATAGCAGAATCAGAGCTTTCCTGAGCTGACAGGCTCTCACCTGGCTGGGCACAGCTGAACCCATTCAGAGAGGAAGTGACCCTGGCCTCCTTCCCCACTTCCATCCCAAGGTTAGGTTCACAATCAGGTCCTTTCAGTGCAAGGAAGGAGAACTAGGCCCACTTCAGCTGCAAATAGTCTCCCCACCTAGGGCAGCCTCAACCTAACCTGAGCATCCAGACCCCCAGGCTGCCCTGGAGATTTGCTAATGATCCCTGTGGCAGCATAGGGTCTACGTGGCCAAGCTGCCCACTATGAGAGGGTGCTCCACAGAGAACAATTCTGGAAGTTCAGTTCTGTCCTGGCTCTGTGCATAGGTGTCACTGCATGCTTTCAAAGATTGCCCAGATTTCTTCACACCTGACTGGAAAAGCACATCCTGTGTATGTGAAGTACTGAGTCTCAGAGGCAAACTGAGGACAGCACCTTGGAGCTGAGAGTGACTAGTGGCAGCCCAAGGCTGGGGAGACCCAGAAGGGATGGAGACTATGAGATGGGGCCTAACCTGGGGCAGACCATGTATAAAAGTGAGACACTTTTGTCTGGCACTGGAAACCTGTGAGTGAAAGAAAATGTACTATTAGCACTTTACCAGGACAAGCACTGTCACACAGTTCCAGTAGGGGCTGGGCTGGCTGAGACTGGGAGGCTCCATGGAAGACCCCCAGACAAGGTGGTGGCACTGTCAGACTATGAACACCTTGTGGAGCTTCTAGGTTTCTGAGCAGCACCTTTCATCAGGATGTTCTCTCCACCCAGAAAGTATCCTTCACTGGATGTCCTCCCCACCAAGGCAGCCCCCCTTCATCAGGGCATCCTCTCAACCCTCCCCTGGACAGCACCATTCGTCAGGAGCATCCTCTTATGGGCCTCCTAGGGAAAACCTTCAGAAGTCTGAGAATTCACTGAGGCCATGGGACCCAGTTCTAAGGGTGCCGCACATACCAAGGCAGGCATGGGAGAAGACTTGAAAGCCCAGTAGTGCCCCCACCCCATCAGAAAGTACTGAGCAGAGGAGTCCTGGTCATGCTGGACGCAGTGGACCTGAGCAGCCAGTGTCCCCAAGTACTGGAGGCCCCACCCTGCATAATTCAAACCCCTTTAGGCCTGTTTGCCCTCAGTTTCACTCTACCTTCCAATAAGAAAGACTACAGTCCTTCGTCTGCAAGTTTTCCTGAGCCCATCAGAGATCCAAGGTCCCAGGGCAGCTGAAACCTGGAAATCTAAGGAAACATGAGTACAAGAAAACACAGGCCACACACTGTGGACATCAGGAAGGAGAAAGCAGGTAAAATTCTGAACGCAGGTCAGTGAGAGGAAACAGAAGACCTGTGCACACAGAGTCAGGGGTCTGCCCCTCTATGAAACTTGTGAGAGTAACACAGAGATAGGGACAAAGCCCAGTGGGGGAGGCATCTGGCACCCCACTCTTTTACAGGCACTTGACTGCCCCAATCCTTCACAGACACCTGGCTCCCCACTCTTCACAGACATTTGACCCTCTAATCCTTCATAGGCACCTGGCTCCCCAATCCTTCTTCCTCAGGCCATGACCTGAGAATACGAAGGACACCCAAGGCCATTTCTAATCTGGATCCAGTGGAAGCCTACAGCCAGGGGCCAGCGTGCTAGCAATGGCACAAACCCTGCTATCCCTGAGGACTCCAGAAACAGCCCAGGAAAGACAGGAGAAGGGGGCAGAAGACCCCTCAGTCCCATGTGGGCTGGAGCTCTAGGACACAGGAAGACCTCGGACTTTCATCAAGTGGCAGTGACAAGCAGCAGCTGCTTCTAAGGGGAGGGAGTCCTGGAGTGAATAGTGGGTTATCATCCCACACCCCAGCTGCCACAACACACCAGGCTAGTCCTGACAGTACCCCATGGTACCTGGGGCAGCAGGCAAAGATCACACAGAGTTAACCATGGACACTCAACCTCTCAACCATGGCTCATCCTGCTCCCTCATGGAGCAGACCCGCTCATTCCCTGGAGCCTCTGATTGTGGGGAAACCCGTGAAGCAGAATAGGAGCAGGTCTGGCCCATCCTCCCACAAGAGCAGCTCTGGCTCCACGTGCTCAGCCAACCCAGGACCATCCTAGCAGAGTGGATGACCTGAGAATACGAAGGACACCAGGGCCACTTCTAACCTGGATCCAGTGGAAGACTATAATCAAGGGCCAGGCCACTTGGACGAGGCCAGCAAGAGCTGGGTCAGGAAGGGAGGATGTGTGCACAGTACAACACACCATACACACTCTTCCTGACCATAGCTGGAGCCAGGTGAGACCCAGGTGAACAGAAGTGGGCACAAGTGAGAGTCCTACCTTGGAAGAAGCTCTTCACCCTGAGGTAACTGACGCTGAGGCGTAGGACAGAAAGTTTGTCCAACTTGGAGATGATGTCAGGTGGGAAGGGCAGCAGGCTGGCCAGGTGGTCCAGCTCTGCATTGAGGCGATCTCGATGTCGCTTAGAAGGGTTTGACTTCTCAGTACCCATGGCAGGTCTCCTGTGAGGAAAAGACTTCATTCAGGTTTCTCAGCCAGGCCGCCTGGCCCCATAGGCTGGAAACCTATTCTCTGTAGTTCCTTTACCAGGAGCATTTGAGCAGCTACCAAGACAGAAAGAGCTAAAACTCAGTCACTCCTGAACATGCACACATCGAAACCTACAATGGACATCATTAAATGACACCTCAGAACCGACGATGCACAGTAGTAAACTACACCTTGGCTTTTGGAGCAAATGAAAGAAGTAATCATGAGAGTCTCGGGTGAGAATGAAGGGCATGCCTCTGGCTGTGTGACTCTGGCACATCTCCCATCCTCTCTGTGCCAGGTGCCCTGAGGTGGGAAGACATCTGGCCAGGGCAATCATAATGCTCATGGAAAAATGTGCTTTCAAAACCTAATATATTTCAGGAAAAATATTAGTTCCCATCCCCATGTGCCGATGGCCTGCAGACCCTGACCCATACCTGCACACTTCAACAGTTCTTGGGCCTTGCAGCTCCCAAGAGTCCAAATCTGAGCAGGGCTTGTGAGCATTTCTCTGCACTGCAGGCTGAAGGCAGAGGTAGGACCCGTGGCCTCCAGAGGCCACAGGACAGGCTGAGTGAAGGACAGGAAGGCCCTGCCTAGCCTTCCATGTAGCTCAGGAGGCCTGCTCACCAACAGACAGGTCATCCAGCCTCAGTCACCTGCCTACCTGCCTGAATATGGGACCACTGAACCCAGGCCCAAGTCCCTAGTACCCCTTCACAATGACCACCCCTCATCTGACCCTCTTAGCCCACAGTGACCGTCACTCTTCTGACCCTTTTGGTCATGGTGACTGTTATTCATCTGGCCCTTTAGGTCATGATGACTATCCTCTAACCCTCTTAACCCACAGTGACCATCACTCTTCTGATCCTTTAGGTCATGTTTATCCTCTTCTGGCCCTTTAAGTCATGGTGACTGTCCCTCTTCTAAACCTTAGGTTATGTGGACCATCCTGTTCCGACTCTCCAGGTCATGGTGACCATCCCTTGTCTCACCCTCTTAGTTGTGGCACAGAAACAGCATTACTAATCCCTCATTCTAGGTGTTGTCACATGTAAGGACATAAAAGAACAGGTAACTAGAGGTGTGGCTCAAGTGGTAATGCACCTGTGTAGGAAGTGTGTAAGCCCTGAATTCAAGCCCCAGTACAATTTAAAAAAATCTGTTCTTTCAGGAGGTCTACAGCACTTTTATCATTATTGACCCAGGCCACAAAATATATTTCACACAACATAAACTTAACCATCTGCAAGTGAGCAGCTCCACGTCACTAGTATAGTCACAAAGCTGTGCAAACATCAGCTTTGCCTAGTCCTAGAGATTATTGTCACCAAAGGGAAGCCCTTTACCACCCAGCATGCTTTCCTTCCTTTGGACCTGGTCTGTTGTCTCTGTGTGCATGCTGTGGTATTTCACATAAATTGAAACAACAGCAACATTCTGTGCTCCTTTTGTGGAAAAATGTTTCCAAGGTTCATCCACCCTTATAGGATATATGAGTGCTTCATTCCTTTTTATGGTTAAGTAATATTCCAGTGTATGAATGGACCACATTTTGTTTATCCATTCATCAGCTGATGGCCAGTTGGGTTGTTTCCCTTTTTTGGTTATTATGAATAAAGCTGCTATGAGCATTCATCTACAAGATTTTATTTGAATGTGTACTTTGAATTGTCTTTGGTGTTTATCGAAGAGTGGAATTGCTGGGACAAATGATAATTCTATGTTTAATTTTTTGATGAACCACCAAACTGCTTTCCAGAGCAAGTGTAATGCACAGGGGTTCCAATTTGTCCACATCCTTGCCTGTACCTGCTCAGGTCCATTTTTTAATTACCGTAGTCATTTCAGTGGTGTAGGTGGTGTTGCATTGTGGTCTTGATTTAGTTGTGATGCTGGGCATCTCCTCATGTTCTCCATTTATGTCTTCACTGGAGAAATGTTTGTTTGAGTTATTTGCCATTTTTAATTGGATTGTCTTTTTTATTTTTGAGTTGTTTAGAGTTATTTATGTATTCTGGATATTAAGCCATCTTCAGATATATGGTTGGTAAATACTTTCTCTATTCTGTGGATTACCCTTGGTTATCCTTTTGTTTCTGCTGATTTTTAAAAATGTGATACCACCCCAAAATCACTCAAGCTGCCACCAAAATTTAAATAAGCTGGGAACTTGGGGAGGGATTGGACTGATGACTGTGTGGCCTGGCTAGACAAGAGGCCTCACCTTGTGGGCGACAGAAAGCCTGCCCCCCCTCAGGCCTCCCAAAAAACAAAGGACACCTCATGGTCAGATGGGGATGGGATCAGAGAGGAAAAGTAAACCCGGGGGTGGCAGAAACAATGGGGAGGAGGTAGCAAAGAGTGGGGGGGGCACAGACATGGAACCTGGCTGTGGGCAGGTAACTGGAAGAGAGCACCCTGTGGGCAAGGCAGCACCTCCTCCCAAGTGCAGGGTCCATGTCTGTCTCCTCACCCCACCCTGGGCCCATCCACCCTCATGCATGGACCCTCCTGTTCCTGCCCCTCTCCTCCAGGCAGTCCTCACCCAGGCAGGGCCTCAGAGTCATGAGCCTGGATCACTTCTTACGTCCATTAGAGGTGGGGGGAAGGTGGCCCTGCCTCACCATGTGGGGTGGGGTGGCTGAGCTGGCCCATGCATCCCAGGCATTTCTTGCACGGCTCAGGGAGGGGCACTGCCTGGTAAAGGTATGGGTGTGCAGAGCACAGCATGGTTGGCTTTCCTCCTCTGGTTCTCAGAACACCTGATTGCTCCTTGTTGCTGTACCTTGCACCCAATCCCAGCCCCATGAAGCAGGTAGGGACTCCACCCCCACGGGTGAGAAAGGACTGTGGCTGGGGGCTAATGAGGCTGTGCAGAGAAGACAGAGCCCTCTGGGTTGGCGGTGGGCTGGAGCATAGGGCAAATGCAGAGGCACAGGAGGTTGCTCCTGCAGATCCAGCTAGAGAAAAGCAGGAAGCCACAAGGCCAGGGGCTCAACCCAGCCTGTCAGCAGAAACTGGCCTGAAGTTGCAGAAAGTTGGCTCAGCTGCCAGAGTTAAAAAGGAAGCCCTGAACACCAAAACTGTAGAGCACCTGTGATTAATCTAACAAGAGACATTCAAAACATCTAAATTAAACTATGAAGTGTTTCTGCGGAAATATTTAAAAGACCTAAATAAATGGAGATAAGTCATGTTCTTGGGTTGGAAGAGGTATTGTTAAAATGCAATTCTTCCCCAAACTGATTTACAGACTTAACATAATCTCAACTAGAATTCCAATAGGCCTCTTTATATAAATTATAAAGCTGACTCTAAAATTTACATGGAAATGCAAAGAGCATAGAATAGCCAATTAAAAAAGAACAAAGTTAGAGGACTCACCCCTGACTTTAAGCCTTCCCTAAACCTCTAACATTAAGATGACTTGCTATAATATCCATTTGTTGACTGGCAGCAGCACTAACACAGCTCATGGGAATCCGTTCAATAAGTGGTTCTAGGTCCACTGAGCATCATAAAAACAAGGAACATCAACACTTGCTTCACACAGTCCCTCAAAATAAGCCGAGTGGATTGAGATCTAACTGTAAAATCTACGATACGTGTGCAAGAATCTTTCAGACCTGCAGGTGATCTTAGAACACACAAAATGGATAAACTGTTCTTCATCAAAAGTTTTTTAAATGCTTTTTTTTATTTGTATGAGATAGGGTCTTGCTATGTAACCTGGACTGCCCCAGCCTCCCAAGTCCTGGGATTATAGCTGTGCACCTAAAATCTTTTTTGAAAGTCAATATTAACAAAATGAAAAGGTGACTCAGATTAGAAGAAAATACAAGGACTAGTACATAGGAAATGTAAAAAATCTTATAACTTAATATGGAGAAGACAGGTAACCCAAACAGAAGATAGGCAAATTATTTAAACAGACACTTCAACAGAGAAGATACACAAAAGAAAAACAAGCACATAAATACATACTCAATACCATTATTCATTAGGTTAATATAGATTAAACCCTGATAAGAGTCTACCAACCCATTATAGCTCAAACTAGAAAGATGGATGATTCAAGCGCTAGAGAGAACGTGGAGGGACTCTGCTGCTGGGAGGTAAGATGACGTGACCACTTCAGAGACGCGTGATGGTTTCTGAAAAAGTTAAGCACATCCTTTGACCCAGCATCTGCATCCCTAGGTATTTACCAAGAGGAATGAAAGCATCTGTTCATTCAAAGACTTGTCCCCAGATGTCCACACACATCCACAGCATCTTTGTAATAGCCCTAAACCAGCAACAGCCCAGATGTTCATCAAGCTTGGTATGTTACACAATGGAGCCAACGTGAATACACAAACTCAATGACTCTCAGAATTTATGCCAAGTGAAGGGCCCCACAGAACACTTCACACAAACACCAGAAGTGTGAACTCCACAGTGACAGTGAAGGAAGAGATCAAAAGCTTTCTGGAGACAGAGGGGGTCACCAGGGGGGATGAGGAAACCTTTGGAGTGATGGAAAGTGTTTGTAATCTTGACTTTGGTGATGGTTTCATGGGTAAAAACTAATGGGTCTTTAAACTTCCTCCAGTTACATTCCAATAAAGAAAAATTGAGAGAAAAATAGGACAGCTCCTCAGCCTCCACACTGTCATGAATTCGGGGGTCTCTGAAGACTAGGTATAGCCTCTACACATTGCTGGTGGCACAGCCCACACCCTGAGGGCTCTCAGAAGCAGGGTCTAGCCCAGGTTCCAGGCCTTGTAAGTGTGGATCTAATCCAACCCCACTGCATGCTCACCCCTATTCCCCTCAGCCTTTTCTACTCTTCTAGGTGAGAAGACATGGCACACATAGACCCTAGCCCACCCCATCCACAGACCAGAATGCAGGGCACAGCTGACCTACAGCCCTCAGCCTAAGGTCGTGGCTATGAGGCACATCAGGGATGGGCTGGCCAGAGCTAGCAGGGAAGGAGCTCACACTAGGGGCCACAGGAGGAGGCACAGAGCATGTCTCCCGTGGGGTGGATAGAATGACCTTAAAAGATTCATAGATGCCACATTTTGTCAAGCCAGCCTTGGCCACTCCCCTCGCCTCGCCCTGGTATCTACACACACAACAGGGTGAGCACATGGAACATTCAGTGACTGCTGTGGTTTGAGTGTGCCCCTCAAACATCAGATCCTCCCTCACCAGACCCTCCATCATGCTGTTTAGACTTTCAGCTTCAAAGTGTGAGCTAAAGAAGCTTCTTTTCTTTATACAGTTCCAAGCCTAGGCATTTCATCACAGTAGCAGAAAATACACTAACACAGTGACTATTCAAGTCATTTCACTGTCTTTCATCACCCCCCAGTCACCATTTTACAATCCCAGGCCATTTCTTTCTTTTCTTTTTTTTTTTTTTTTTTTTTGTGGCACTGGGCTTTGAACTCAGGGCCTATACCTTGAGCCAATCCACCAGTCCTTTTTTGTGATTGGTTTTTTTTGAGACAGGGTCTCGCAAACTATTTGCCCAGGCTGGCTTTGAATTGCAATCCTCCTGATCTCTGCCTCCTGAGTCACTAGGATGCCATTTCAAATCAGTGAGGAAAAGTTGATCCTTCAATAAAAATGTTGAGACAACTGTCAGACGTAGGGCAATGAGATCAACTCATACTCATATCTTACATCAGGGAAACATCAAATGCTCAGAAGAGAGGTATGGTAGTACACACCTATAATCCCAGCACCTGAGAAGCTGAGGCAGGAATATCATGAGTTCAAGTCCAGCCTGGACTACCCAGCAAGACCCTGTCTCAATACATAAATAAATAAGATTTTCAATGGACTGGTATCTCAGTGGTTGAGTGTTTGCATGACATACAAGAGGCTTTGAGATTCAACCCCAGCACTGCAAAAGAAAAAAGGTTTTAAATTAAAAAAATATTTTAAAAAAAATGTATCAGAAAATGCAATGGAAAATTCTCTTATTAGGAGTATGGAAGACCTTTGTAATCATGATTTGAAATTTTTATTAACCACAAAGGAAAAGACCCATAAATTCAACTTCATAGAAGTTAAAGACTTCTGCATGGCATATAATATCACAAGTAAAATCAGAACTGGGGAAAGTGTCTGAAGCTCGCTCAAGAGTTAGGGTTCATAGGAGCTCACATGCTCCTATAGCCAAGCACAAAAACGTAAATCACCCAAGAAAATGAGCAAAAGATATCAGAGAATTCACAGAAAGGGAAGTACAAATAGGTCTTAAGCTTCATTTATACTAAGAAAATTAATGAAAATCTCAAAGTCCAGAATACATCACGTGCCAGGATGTGGGGAGGGCAGGAGAGAGGAGTGTAAGCGCTGGGCACTTGTTGACATCCATCAGAATTACACATGTCCCTGAAAGCAATACTATCCCTAGGAGTTTGTCCTCCCCACAGATGAGCACTGGGCCTGGGTTTGATTTTACCTGCTGTGTAAACTCTGTAGAAGCTGGCAGAAGACACCAGTACCAGCCTGCTTCTGTCATTTACCCATGTCTCCAGGTCCCCTAGGATAGGTGGCAGGGTCTGGGCTGATGCTATGTGTGCTACAGATCTGTGTGGTAGCCAAGGAACATGGACCTTGGTAGACAGCTGGCCGACTGTGCTAACATGGGCTGGAGGAGTGCCCACCATTGCTGCAGATAGCACATCAGGGAGGCATGTGCTGACGTACTGCAGTCTCTGAGGAGTGCAGCTGCATGTGAACATAGCATGTACAGAAAAGAAGGACATACACATCACCTCACATTTGCTAGTCATCTCACAGGGCATCGCAAGAAGGGCTCACAAGCACTTGGGAAATCAGAAGGCTCCAGGCAGGGAACCATGCTGCAGAGATATCCCCTAAGGTGTGACCCCATGAACATTCTGTCTGTCAGAATAGCCACAAGTAAAATGAAAATGTCCAAGCCTTGAAAAACTCACTGCCTCCAGCCTTTGCACCACAATAAAAACAAGATAAAGCATGAAACTCAGCTCCTATCACTCTATCCTTTCCTCCCCCCACCCTCCCGCACCACCCAGAGACCACTGAGTTTGAGCCAAACAGCAGTTATTTTCTTTCCTTATTTAATATGACAAATTCATTACCTAAACAAGTCTCTGCCATGCCAGAGCACATCTCCACAACCACCACCCAGGGGCATCCCCTGCCCCTCTTCAGTGTCCCTAAGATGCTACCTCTTATCCACAGCTTTGCATCCAGACTACCTTGAGCCCCATAGCCTGGGAGGCCTCATCTTCACACAACCAACGAGGGGACAAACCACCTTCCAAATCCCAGCTGCACACACAGAGCAATCTCAGCTTCACACCAATCTTCAGCTTCAGTTGGTGTGAAGTGTGGCTGGTGGGGTCCATACTGTCTGTAATGTACACAAAATCATGCAGCCCTGGAGATCAGGAGGAGCAGCTCCATCACTTACACAAGGAGCACACATGTACAGAACTGCAGGTGTGCACTCCAACCACCACAGGCGTGTGTGATTGTTCAAGTGTGCGTGCACACAAACGTGGTGTCACACAGCATCACACACAGCTGCATCACACATCCAGAAAGCTCTCTCTCTCTCTCTCTCTCCTCAGTACAAGGAGCTAGAGGCAACTATGGGCCTCCTGAGGAAGCTGTTCTTCTCTGTCCTCTGGCAGGGGGCTGGCTCTAAATGCTGTCATTGAGGCCACCTCAAGGGCCCAAAGGGGCTGCCCAGGGAAGGGCAGGCAGAGGGGCCATGGGTAGTGGGACAGGCATCCTGGACCCCAGGTTCTCCCATCTCAACACCTGCAGAGATCCTTGGACAGGGAGGACTAAACCTGTGAGCCTTGTCCTCATGAGGAGTGCAAACTGGCAGGGTTGCATCTTCCCTGGACAGGGTCTCCCAGTGCTGAGCGGGAAAAGGTCCACATGCTGTGGCATGTCCCTCATCCAAGATGATTTCTGGCCAAATTCTTTCTTTCATCAACCCTGGCCTGTCCTTCATGTCAATCAGGAAAGCTGTCCAAAACAAGCTTGCCTGCTACAGAAAGCCAACAAGAGATCACAATTGCACAAGCCCCAGAAGTGACCATGATGTCACCTACCAGAAGGCCCCAGAAGCCACTCCCATGCCCATTGTGTCCCTAAAATTCCCTCTCTTCATGAGGGTACAGCACCTCCCCTGTCCTGGGGATCAGGAGGAGAGGGGGCTTTACCGCTTCTGAACGGGCTTCCTCCTCTTCCTGCCGGCGTATGTGCACTCCCCCGGAGGAATCATCCTTGCTGACCCTAAAAGAAGAAGGGGGCATCAGGTGGGTCACATCAAAGGATCCCTTGTGACGTCCAGGGCCTGCCAAATGCAGGAAGGGCAGCCAAGGCACACGCCACGCTGGCAGCCCTCACCCTACATGGGTCAGCTCTGAAGGTGGGAGAGTTGACCATCAAGCACTATCTAGAGCAAGGTGCCTGCCCATGAGAACCACTCTGAGCACAATCATCACACAGATGCTGGGAGCAGGGCGCATGTGGCTGAAGCCCAGGGAACTGCTGCTTTCAGAGGTCCTGGCACCCAGCAGAGCCACAGCCCAGCACCATCGTGCTATGGAAGGCCCTACTCTTCCCATGTTCTTTGTTGGCCTTGTGCTCCAGCCAATCAGCTTCTGCTCTTCTCTGCAAGGTCACTTCCCAGCTCCACACACTGGGCCACCAACTTACAGCCATTGGAACCCAGCTGGCCATGCACAGTGGAGCTAGACACAGTCACAGACCTATGGCAGAGGTCCCCACAAGCCTACAGCAGAGGTCCCTGAAGCAGCCCAGGAACTGTGCCCCAAGCTGGCAGCCCACCATCCCCATCTGGGAACAGGGGACATCCCCATTCTCATCATAGAACCTTGATTTTTCCCAGCAGTGAGGAAAGCCTCATAAACTCCCTGCAGAGCCCTACATAGCACCCACCCAGTTCTAGTCCAGCAGCCTCAGGAGGACAATGGAGAGCCCTCACCTGACCTCAAGAGTGTGTCGTATGGAAGAGGTAGACTCACACCCAATTTTCATCCTAGAAGTGGCTGTGAGAATGTCAGAAATATGTGACCGCCCCCTTTTGGGTACAAAAACATAGGCAAGCAAAGCAACTGCATAGGGAACCTCCACGCAGAGGCCTGGGGTGGCACTGAGAGTTTCAGACAGACGCTAAAGAACAAGGGGTAAGCACCAGGGACAAAAAGGGTGTCACAGAGTAACAAGGTGGCCAATATTCTAAGAAGACATGGTAACCCTAAATGTGCACATACCAAGCAACAGAGCTTCAAAGTACATGAAGCAAAAAAGCAATACAAGTGAAAGAATGACTCAGCAGAGACACTGCCATTCTCTCAGTGACCAATGAGTCATCAATAAGGATGTGGGATGTGCAGATAGCAGCAGACTAGAGCTGATGAGAGTTTCAGAACATACCTTCTGACAGTGAAGTGCACATTGAACATTTACCAAGACAGTATTCTAAGACTTACAGACTCCCTCACAGACCTATGACACAGAAATCATACAAATACATTCTCTGACATAATGGAATTAAACTAGCAAGATAGCTGGGAAATCTCCAAGTGCATGGAATAACCATGGGTCAAAAAGACAGTCTCAAAGAAAATTTTAAAGTATTACAAACTGAATGAAAATGAAAATACAAACATTTCAAACTTTGTGAGATGCGGCACTCAGTGCTTATTAGAAAAGGAGTCTCATATAATCTAAATGAAGTAACTAGAACAAGAGAAAATAAACCCAAATCAAGCAAAGGATGGAATTAGTAAAGAAAAGTCATGAAACTTAAAACATGAAAATAAACAAAAATCAATGAAACCAAAAGTTGGTCTTGGAAAATATCAACAAAATTGGTAAAGCTCTGGCCAGAAGACACAAATTGCCAGAATCAGTATTGAGAGAGCACACCACCACAGATCCCATGGAGAGTGGACTGCTGTGAACTGAACTATGTCCACCCCCAAATTCACTCAGTTAAGCTGCTACTCTCCAGACTGTATGGGAGACAGGGCCTGCAGGGAGATGACCAAGGGAAGTGAGTTCACTGGCCCACAGGCTGTGTGTTAGGAGTACAATGCATAGGGTCCTTTCTCTCCCCATTATGCGAGAACACAGGGAAAACTAGGTCATCGGCCAGTCAGGAAGACACCCCTACCAGAAACCAAATCAGCCAAAACCTTGATCTTTAACTTCTAGCTTCCAGAGCTATATGAAATAAAGGACTGTTGTTCTAAACGTCCAGTCTGCAGTGTTTTGCCAGGACAGCCTAAACATACTAAGACAAATGATCTCACCATAAATTCACCAATTTAGATTAAATGGAGCAAGTCCTTGAAAGGTACAAGCTACCAAAATTCACCCAAGAAAAAAACAGAAAACTTAGATAGTCCTACATTCCAACAAAGAAAACCCAAATCTTACATGGCTTCTGTGCTGTATTCTACCAATTTAAAGATGAAATAAGACCAACTCCACCATCTCTGACAGACAGCAACAGATGAAATATTTAATTCAGCATTGTCCTGATATCAAAGCAAAGACATTACAAAAAAGTTACATGTCAACATCTCTAATGAACACTGACACAGAAATCCTCATTTAAATATTAGCATGTGGAATCCAGCAATATACAAAGAGGATTAAACAGCACAATCAAGTGTGATTTATCCAAGGAATTCAGGGCTGTGAATCAATAACTATAACTTATTATATTAATAAAGAAGGAAATACATGTTATCATCTCAATACTTGCAAAAAATCATTTGACAAAATACAGATCCACCTATTATAATTTAAAAGATTCATCAAACTCAGAATAGAAGGGGATTTAATGAACTTGACTGAGGACTCTACAAAAAGCCTACAGCTAACATCCTACCTAGCAGTGAAAGACTGAAGCTTCTCCCAAGATCAAAGGCAAAGATGTCCTGTGTCTCAACTCCCACCACATACCACGTTTGTGTACTAGCCAGGCAATAAGGTGAGAAAATAAATAAAAGTCACAAAACTTGAAAGGGAAGAAATCAAACTATCTGTTTACATATAACATGATCATACAAGTAGAAAATTTACTTTAAAAACTCCTATAGTTAAATATTGAGTCAAGCAAGGTCACAGGGTAAAAGGACAGTATACAGTAGTCAATTGTATTTCTACATACTAGCAACAAACCACTGGAATTCAGTTTAAAAAATTGTCATTTAAAATAGCACTCAAATAAAAATGAAATACTTGGGTATCTCAAGAGTCCTAATGTGTGTAAGTGGGCCCCTGAAGAACAGGATGGAAAGGCACGATAGAAACAAATTTAAGGAATGATATAATTTTTTCAAAATGTAATGAAAACTGTCAACCTATAGATCCAAGAGGCTTGATGAATCCAAGACTACACTGAGGTACTTCATAACCAAATTTCTCATAACAAGTAACAAGCAGAATAATTCTAAAATCTAGACTACATTAGGTACAGAGAAGCAGAAGGTCAACAGCAGATTCCTCATCAGAGACAATGCAAGCAAAAAAGATGGGAAGCAACATCTAAAGCCCTGAAAGAAAAATACCCAGAACTAGAATTCTATATCCTGTGAAAATGCCTTCCAACACCAAGGCAAAATAAAGTGTTTCAGATGCACAAAAGATGAAAGGATCCACACCAGGCCAAAGGAAAATGATACCAGATATAACATGGATGTACAAAATAGGACACAAGACACTGGAAACAGTAACTACAGGAATGCAAGGCTTCTATTATTTAAATACTTAAAAGATAGTTGACTGTTAAAACAACAGTGACAGTGTATTGTGGAGCTGACATGTTTAGACTCCAAAGGCCAGAAGAGGAGACACACTGCCCAGGCAGTGGCACTGCAGAACCGGTGCTATTCATTCATCTGTGGCTCTAGGCTCTAAGTCACCCTTCGTTGCCTGGTCTGCATGAGAGGGTTGTGCCTTCTGAGCATTTCTTTTTAGCGTGAGCATGATGCTGCACCTGCCAGGAGAAGGTGCCAGTGGACCCTGCAGGAGGGAGGGACCTTTTCCAGTTCAATTTTTTTTGGTTTTTTTTTTTTTTGGTGGTACTGGGGTTTGAACTCAGTATCTCATTCTTTCGAGGCTGGCACTCCACCACTTGAGCCACACCCCAGCACTTTTTGTGTTAGCTATTTTTTGAATAGGGTCTCATGTTCATGCCCAGGCCAGCCTGGACTGTGACCCTCCTAGTTATGCTTTCGGTATAGGTGGGATGACAGGTGTGAACCACCACACCCACTTTTATTGGTTGAGATGGGGGGACTCACGATCTTTTGCTCAGTGCTGGCTTCAAACCATGGTCCTTTAATCTCCACCTCTTGAATAGTGGTATTATAGGCGTGAACCACCGTGCCTGGTGTGGTTTTTCTTTCAGCTCCTGCTCAGCACTGTAGAGGCTGGAAAACTCAGCAACACCTTCTAGTCCAGAAGGCTAAACAATACCTCCAAAAAGGCCTGACCCCAGCTTTGGGGAGGGCACCTCGTCAGGCACTCTGAGTTCCCTTGCCAAATTTTTAGTTACTCTACCGTTATAGTTCATGCTTCTTAATATTAAGTTTTCTCAATTCAAATAAAAAATTAAGCTAAAATGTGCAAAGGTGATTCAAGTCCACATGTTTTGGAGATAAACACTAAAATACATATGGATGACATGTTAGGGATTTGTTTTACATAACTGGGAAGGACAGTGGAGTCTAACCGGTCTGGAACTGGCAGAGTGCGGGGGGGGGGGGTCAATGAGTCTACTGGTGCTGGGTGATGAGTAAAATAGGTTCATTGTACAATTCTCTCTACTTTTTAAAGGATCTGTAAATTTCCTTAATGAAAAGTATAGGAGCTGGGCATGGTGGTGCTTGCCTGTAATCCTAGCACTTGGGAAGCTGAGGCAGGAGGATTGTGAGTTCAAGGCCAGCCTGGGCTATATAGGGAGACTCTGTCTCAAAAAATATGTGGGTTTCTTTAAAGCATTAAGACAGAAAATATGGTATAAGAATGGTCATACTATGGTCAGTTGATTTTCAACCAGGGTTCCAGGGCCATTCAATGAAGAAAGAATAGTCTCTTCAACAAATGGTGCTGATAAAAATGGAGAGCCACATGCCAATGAGTGAGGATGGATGGTTACCTCACACCATAGGAAAAAATGACTCTATATAGATAAAAGTAACTCTAGATTGATTAAAGATGTAAGAGCTAAAACTATAACTC